CCCCAAAACCCCAAAACCCCAAAACCCCGCTCTATTAATTATCACCACATTTATAGTAAAGGGATAATGTAAAATCAATTTAAATAAATGTAGTTTCATTTCTCTAATTCGTAATATATTGAGTTTTAAATTAGTAATCATTATTTAGTTCCTTGCTTATGAACTTTCGCAGCAATATGAAGGCAAAGGCTCTTAATTTGTCTTAGTTGGCCTTCTTGAATATTGCTCGCATTATCCTCAATATCTTTTTTCCGATAAACAATCATGTATTTAGAAGAACCTTAGTTTCTTTTCCAGAGCATTAAACTCTCAAGCTCCCATAACAACTGAGCTTTAAGTGCATAATCATAGGGAATAATTCCATCTTATACTCTTGAATAGGTATCACCCATCAAAGCGATTAAGAGATTCATAAGAATTAATGGAAAGAGTAGAGTTGAGAAGATAAATACTATCAAAATCCATGCTTCACTGAATGAATCAAATTCCCATTCTCCCATTGATAGTCTGTAGTATAAAATGATATTATCGAGATAATCACTTGCTGATTATGATTCTTCATGAGATAGAGTTATTTAAATAAGTGCTAAAGCTAGCATGCTATAAATTAGTAAAATAAAGAAACTTTTCATTCCTTTAATAATTTCAATAACCATACCAACTAGATAGCGTGTGCTATCAAATGCTCTCAAGTAAGAAATCCCTCTAAGAAAAATAATTGAGATTCCAAGAGCTTATAATTACTAAAAGTATTCAAAAGTGTATTCAAATTCTTGCAGAAAAGTAAGAGAAAATATAATAAGGAATCCAGAAAGATCAAAGAAATTCCAAAAATCTTAAACATAATAGCTTTTGCTGGCATAGAATTGGAAACCTTCCATCATAATCATTAGAAAAGTTGAAATTTAGACCACTATGATAATTGGTAAGTTTCTAGAGTAGATGACATTTATCCATATAATGAAAAGATATAGATAATAGATAAAAGCTTGAATCTTAAGCGAGGTTGTAAATTAATCCCATTTGTAGTCAATAAACATTTGAATACTGGTTCTAAATATTTCTGGGTCTGCCTCGACTAATTTTTTTAATATATTAATGCTCTCCTGTGATCCAGGAGTGAAGTTTATTGGAAATTGTGAAATAAGGTATTAAACAGGTTCTACTGAATCCCCATCGACATCTCCAGCACATTCAGAAATTTTCTTCAAGTCAATATCTTTTGAATCCTAAAAAATGTAGATATTCTCACTGAAAGTGCCGAATTCAGGAAGAATGCCCTCTATAGTCCTAGTTATTGGAGTGAAAATTTTATCAAATAGTGCTTTAACTGATGGTAAATTGCACTACAGCATTTGTTCAAAATCTATTTTCGTTATCAAAAAATCTTATGTAGATTCATTATAATATTTGGCGATTTCATCAACGCATTTTAGATTCATTTACTCAAAAGCATAAGTTAACGGAGTCTTACCCTTATCATCAGCCATATAAGGAAATCCTAACTATAAAGCTTTTTAAATGCAATCATAATTTCCATTGGCTACTAGAATATGAAGTGCTGTAAATTTGAATGGATAAATAGTTTAGTTTTAATATGAAAGCCATTTTAATGCAACATCAATGTTTGCTTCTTTTAATTTTAAACTTTAAAATAGAGCAACTTCTAAATGTGAAAGTATAGATTACTATAAATCCACAATCTTAAAATTCTAAGAAACAATTGCTTGGACTTGTGAATTTTGCACTTTATTATCAGAATTTTAAATTTCAATGATTGGATAGTATAATGGGTTTTTAATTGACCACATGAAATTTTCCCAACCAGTGGTAATTATGTACTCCTCATTTTTTGATAATTCGACAGTAAATCGACCAGAACTCATTGGTATTGCCTGTAATAAAAGTTTATTTTTTAGATCCCAGATTTTGACCTGCTTATCAATTCCTCCTGAATAAAGCTCATTTTCTGATTAGGATAGAGTTATACTAACATGTCTTGTAGTTGATTCATCTAGGGCTTTAATAAGTTTTTCATTTTCAAAATCCCATACTTACAATCCACATCCAGCTATTACTATCTTGGAGTCATTATCAAATGAGACCAAACTATTAGGCCACTAAATAATTGTTTGAATTGATTTTACAGCTTATCTACTTATAGGATCAAATTTAACTACTTTTCGATTCTATAGATACAGAAAGAGGAAAGTCCCTAGCTTATTTTGATGAACCCATTTCACAGGAGAACCTTAATCATAAGATTCCTGTTCACCAGTTTCCCAGTTAAGAAAAGCTAGATAGTTTCGATAAATATCATAGAAAACGACTAGCTTTTCATTCTACTCCAATAGCCAGAATCTAGAAGGGGCTTTTAATCCATTTTTGTATTGCCAAGAATACTTTAGAGTTATCTTAAAAGTCTTGATATCTATTGAATGAACTATTAAAACATTTGATGTACTAGAAGTTGAAATCAAGTATTGGTTGTTTTTTGTCATATCTACATTAGGACATCCACCCTTATCCAAGGTTAATACCTCTTTATTTGTTTAAAAGTCTATAACATTTACTGTGCCATCCCAAAAGGCATACAACAGATACTTAAAATCACGGCTAAATTTAATCATATACCCACATCTTTTTCTTTCAGTTAGAATTTTAATAAGAGGTTTAGGTTTTATTTTGTACTCATACAATTCTTTTTCTCTCAAGTATTGGTACTATATAGCACTATTGTCTTCAGTTATAAAAACAGAAAGGACCATTTTTCCATCAGGTAAGTGAATGGTATGGAGTTCCTCAAGAGTCTCGACATCCATCAATGTTATGTAGCTGTTGTAGTTTGAAGTAATAATGAGAAGTTTACTGTCACTACTAAAATTGAGGCATGACCCTATCATAAAAAGACATATCTTTTTCAAAAGTATGTCATCACGATCATATTATAGTAGTGTGTGATCCCAGAAAATTCCAATTATATACTTATTATCTGGTGTTACTGCTAGGTATTTAGTTGTGGCATCAGTTTCTTTTTAAAACTTTGTCCAAAAATCATCACCATCCTTTAACTTGAATATTTAGCCATTGTCATCTCCTATATATAATGAATCATTAGTAGCTGTTGCAGCATCAATTGTTTGATTAACTTTTGGATCTTTTAGCCTCTTGGTAGTTGAGTCACTTATGTTTATTCGGTACATCTCTTTGCTATTGACAATCACATAGGCAAATCTTTTGCTTGGGCAGTAAAATGAGAAAATTCCATCAGGCAAATTATATAACTTTTCAATTTTTTTTGTGTTTGCTATTTCATTTTTCTTTTTCTAGAATTCAGAGCCTTCTAAAGGTATTTCTGAACCAAGATCTTCAATTCCGTTTAATAATGTTGCAAAGCTTTTCAAATTGATTAATTACTCAGGCTTTTCTTCCTGAGACTTAAAACTTTGATATAATTAAAGCCCACTGTCACTGAGTAGTGGTTCTTATATATTTTTGCTCATAAATAAATCCTATTATTTCAATATTTTTTAATTATCAGAATATAATACTTCACTTTTTTTAAGTCTTTTTTAATACATGGGGTTTTGGGGTTTTGGGG